GCTCGGGCATCGAGAACTACTCCCGCCACCTCGACGGCCGCGCCCCCGGGGAGAAGCCCTACACCCTGCTCGACTACTTCAACCTCACACCACCCGATCAGAATGGCGAGAGCAAGTGGGTCATGTTCATCGACGAGTCCCACGTCACCATCCCGCAGGTCCGCGCGATGTACAACGGCGACAAGGCGCGCAAAGAAGTCCTCATCGAGCACGGTTTCCGTCTCCCCAGCGCCCTGGACAACCGCCCGCTCACCTTCGACGAATTCGAACAGGTGATCGACCAGACGGTCTACGTCTCCGCGACGCCGGGCCCGTACGAGCTGGGGCGCACGGAGGGCGAGGTCGTCGAGCAGGTCATCCGCCCGACGGGCCTCCTCGACCCCGAGATCGAGATCGTCAGCGCCACGGGCCAGGTCGCGGACCTGCTCGATCGGTGCGAGGAAGTCGCCAACCGCGGCGAGCGCGTCCTCGTCACCGCCCTCACCAAGCGCCTCTGCGAGGACCTGACGAACTACATCCACGACCGCGGCCTGCGCGTCCGCTACCTGCACTCCGAGATCGACACGCTCGAGCGCCTCACGATCATCCGCGAGCTGCGCGAGGGGGAGTTCGACATCCTCATCGGCGTCAACCTCCTCCGCGAGGGGCTCGACCTGCCCGAGGTCGCGCTCGTGTGCATCCTCGACGCGGACAAAACCGGGTTTTTGCGCTCGCCGACGTCGCTCATCCAGACCATCGGCCGAGCGGCCCGCAACGACAAGGGCCGCGTCGTGCTCTACGCGGACTCCGTCACCCCCGCGATGCGCGAGGCCATCGACGAGACCGAGCGCCGGCGCGAGAAGCAGGTCGCCTACAACGCCGAGCACGGCATCACGCCCGAGACCATCCGCAAGGCGATCCGCCAGGGCATCGAGTCCGAGCTCAAGGCCTCGCGAACCGCCCGCATGGCGGTGCAGAGCGAGGAAGAGGCCTACGAGTACGACGAGCTGGCCGAGATGCTCGAGGCGGAGATGCTCGACGCGGCCCAGAACCTCCAGTTCGAGCGCGCGGCCGAGCTGCGCGACCAGCTCACCGCCCTGAAGGAACTCCCGATGGACGAGCGCGCAGGCGTGAAGCTGTCGGACCTGGAGGGCCAGGGCGGCAAGGGCGGATCGAGGGGCAAGCCCGGCGCGGCAAGATCGAAGGCTGGGCGGACGGGGCCGAAGCGCAAGGGGCGGTGAATCGCGGCCCGATGATCGCCCGAACACGATGACCGGGGCCACGCGACCCCCTATCATTTCCCTCACCAGCACCCCACGCCCCCTCACTCCGAGAGAGAGCCGCCTCCTTGCCCACCCAACGCTCCGCCAAGTCCAAGCCCGCGCGCACGAAGAAGAAGTCCTCCAAGAAGAAGGCATCGACGTCGAAGGCCTCGAGCAACGTCGTCGAGGCGAAGCCGTCCGGCGGGGCGAAGGGACCCGGGGGCCGTTCGGCGCCGATCCGTGCGATCCGCGTCCGCGGGGCGAAGGAGCACAACCTCAAGTCGCTCGACGTGGACATCCCGCACGACCGGCTCGTCGTCGTCACGGGGCTCTCGGGCTCGGGCAAGTCGTCCCTCGCGTTCGACACGATCTTCGCCGAGGGGCAGCGGAAGTACATGGAGTCGCTCTCCGCGTACGCCCGCCAGTTCCTCGACCAGCTCAAGAAGCCGGACGTCGAGTCCATCGAGGGCCTGCCGCCGACCATCGCGATCGAGCAGCGGTCGAGCGGCCACAACCCGCGCTCGACCGTCGCGACGAGCACGGAGATCTACGACTATTTGCGCCTCCTCTTCGCCCGCGTCGGCACGCCCACGTGCTGGCACCCGACGAAGACCTCCAAAGGTGTCGTCAAGCAGCGCTGCGGCCGGCCGATCACCTCCTCCAACCCCACGCAGATCACCGACGCGATCTCCGAGCTGCCCGAGGGCACCAAGCTCATGGTCCTCGCGCCGATCGTCCGCGGGAAGAAGGGGCACCACGCCGAGGTGGCCGAGGGGCTCCACGCCCAGGGTTTCGTCCGCGCCCGCGTGAACGGGAACGTGATCGACCTGCGCGAGGCGCTCAAGAACGAGTCCGAGGACCCGATGAACCTCGGGCGCTACGAGAAGCACGACATCGAGGCGGTCATCGACCGCATCGTCGTGAAGCCGGACGCGCGCCAGCGCCTGGCCGAGTCCGTCGAGACGGCGCTCCGTCTTGCGCAGGGGACCGTCGTCATCACCATCGCGGACGACGAATCGCCCGGCGGCTGGCGCGACACCGTCTACTCCGAAAACTACGCCTGCGACGAGCACCCGACCTGCGCCCTCGAGGAGCTCGAGCCGCGCCTCTTCTCCTTCAACTCCCCCTTCGGCGCCTGCCCCCAGTGCGACGGCCTCGGGAACCTCATGGAGTTCGACGAGTCGCTCGTCATCCCGAACGAGTCCATGTCCCTCGCCGACGGCGCGGTGGCCGCGTGGAACAAGAACGGCCCCGTCCGCGCGTGGTTCAACCGCCGACTGCGCCGCTTCTGCCGTGACTTCGGCGTCTCGTTCAAGGACCCCGTCAAGCACTTCGACCCCGAGATCCTGCGCATCCTCCTCCACGGCACCACCAAGGAGGACCGCGCCGAATACGGCAAGAAGTTCGACGGCGTCATCCCCAACATCACCGAGTGGTGGGGCACGACGGAGAACGAGTCCGTCAAGGAGTGGCTCTCCACGTTCATGTCGCAGACGCCCTGCCCGAGCTGCCGTGGCGACCGCCTGCGCGTCGAGGCGCTGAGCGTCTTCGTCCCGTGCACCGAGGCGCTGCCGGACGACGTCGTCGCCCTCCGGGCCGAGCACGGGCTCCCGAAGGACGCGAAGCGCGTGAACATCGCGGACCTGACGCGTCTGAACATCGACCAGGCGCTCCGCGTCATCGGCTCGCTCGTGCTGACCAAGGAGCAGGCGCAGATCGCCGAGCCGATCGTGCGCGAGGTGCTCTCGCGCCTCGGCTTCCTCGCGTCCGTCGGTCTGGAGTACCTCTCGCTCGACCGCAAGACCGCGACGCTCTCCGGCGGCGAGGCGCAGCGCATCCGCCTCGCGACGCAGGTCGGCTCGGGCCTCGTCGGCGCGTGCTACGTCCTCGACGAGCCCACCATCGGGCTGCACCAGCGCGACAACGACCGCCTCATCGGCACCCTCCGCCACCTCGCGGACATCGGCAACACCGTCGTCGTCGTCGAGCACGACGAGGACATGATCCGATCCGCCGACCACATCATCGACATCGGCCCCGGCCCGGGCGTCCACGGCGGCAACGTCGTCGCGGAGGGCACCGCGGAGGACCTCGCCAAGCACCCCGATTCGCTCACCGGCAAGTACCTCTCGGGCGCCATGGAGATCCCCGTCCCCGACGAGCGGCGCGTCGTGAACGAGAAGACCGCGATCACGATCAAGGGCGCGAAGGAGAACAACCTCAAGTCCATCGACGTCGCGTTCCCCATCGGCGGGTTCGTCTGCGTCACGGGCGTGTCGGGTTCGGGCAAGTCGACGCTGGTCAACGACATCCTCCTCAACGCCGCGAAGAAGCACCTCACGGGCGCCCGCGTCAAGCCCGGCGCGCACTCCCGCGTCAACGGCCTGCAGCACATCGACCGCATCATCGAGGTCGACCAGTCCCCCATCGGCCGCACGCCCCGCTCCAACCCCGCGACGTACACCGGCCTCTTCGACGACGTCCGCAAGGTCTTCACGCAGACCAAGGAAGCCAAGATCCGCGGCTACCTGCCCGGGCGGTTCAGCTTCAACGTCAAGGGCGGCCGGTGCGAGGCGTGCCAGGGGCAGGGCGTGAAGAAGATCGAGATGCACTTCCTGCCGGACGTCTTCGTCGAGTGCGAGGTGTGCCACGGTTTGCGCTACAACCGCGAGACGCTCGAGATCACCTACCGCGGCAAGAACATCGCGGAGGTCCTCGCGATGACCGTCGAGGAGGCCGTGGGCTTCTTCGAGAACATGCCCAAGATCCACCGCTACGTCACGTGCCTGCACGACGTCGGGCTCGACTACATCACGCTCGGCCAGCCCAGCACGACCCTCTCGGGCGGCGAGGCGCAGCGCGTCAAGCTCGCGACCGAGCTGGGCAAGGGCGTCTCGACGCGCGGCGAATCCACGCTCGGGCACACGCTCTACATCCTCGACGAGCCCACGACGGGCCTGCACTTCGAGGACGTGCGCAAGCTCGTCGACGTCCTGCAGCGCCTCGCCGACGCGGGCAACACGCTCGTCGTCATCGAGCACAACCTGGACGTCATCAAGTGCGCCGACTGGCTCGTCGACCTCGGCCCCGAGGGCGGCGACAACGGCGGCACGCTCGTGGCGAAGGGCACGCCGGAGGACGTGGCGGAGACCCCCGGGAGCTTTACGGGGGCGTATTTGAAACAGATGCTGTTCTGAGTGCGTATGAGGGGATGATGCCTGCCGAACAAGAGCTAAAAAACCCACACCTTGGGCCTCTGGTTGCTCTGTTTCTGACACTCGTCATCGCGACGCCCTGTCTCGTGCCTATACAAGCTCAATCTTCGGTATTCAGCGAGGCGCTGTTCGTTGCGGTCATCCTCTACACACTCATGCTTTGGATCCGTGTCATCAGAAGACGAAATACCGGGTGGATGTTCCCAGCAACGATCGCATGTTTGTTCCTCCTTTTCGTACTCGCAGTTATCGTGATAGCGATGATCTCTGAAATCCCCCACGCGATATCCTGAACAAATACGCGTGGAGGACCACCGCCCATGATGACCGGCCTCTCCGGCAGACAACTTGTGATCGTGATCATCATGGTCGAGCTCGCCAGCGCGATGATGGTCTTCGGCCTCCTCGCCTCGCAGGGACGAATCGGGCTCGGCATCGGGCTCGCGCTGACGATCCTGGTCATCCCGCTCGTGCTCATCCCGCTCACCCTCTACGGCCTCGGCACGCTCGTCGGCTGGCGGAGCGCCGCGGCGCTCTACCCCGAGACGCCCGACGCCCCGACGCCGAAGTCCCGGCGCGTCTGCTCGATGGCCGTCCGCTGGCCCTTCATGGGGTTCAACAACGTCATCCTCAGCGCGACGGACGAGTCGCACCTGCACCTCCGCTTCGTGGACGTCTTCAGCTTCGGCACCCCCCCGCTCTCGATCCCGTGGGCCGCGGTGACGGAGATCACCCCCTCGGCCCTGGGCCGCGCGAAGCTGACGATCATCGACGCGCCGCCGATGTGGGTGCCGAAGGAGCTGGTGAAGGACGAGGTGGCGCTTCGGAAAGAGATGACGGCCGAGCCATAGCAGCCGGGAGCGGGAGCGAGCGGACCACGGTGCTTCCGAATGAGCGCGGCTTCGCCGCGGATTTGGTAGAGCCCCCTCACCCGGTTTTCTGCTGGCGCAAGAAAACCGACCTCTCCCGCGAGGGGAGAGGTGGCGGATGTTTGCTGTTCAGGATGCCGGCATGGGCAGACGGTGTGCGACCTTTGGTCCGCTCGCTCCCGCTCGCGGCTGCTATTTCTGCACCCTCTCCCCTCGCGGGAGAGGGTGGCTGGCGTGTGTTCCGCCGCCAGCCGGGTGAGGGGCCAGATCAATCCGCGGCGAAGCCGCGCTCCTCCCCCACTGATGCCTGTTGGCTGGTGCCTGATGCCTTCTCAGCTGACTTCCGCCCCCGGCACGATCACCACGTTCCCCCGTTTCTTCCACGTCTGGACGTAGCGGTGCGCCTCGGCGATCTCGTCGAGCGGGAAGACCCGGTCGATCACGGAGCGGTACCCGCCGGCCTCCACGACCTCGCGGAAGTACGCGAGGTCCTCGGGGTCCTCGGACGCCACGCCGCCGATGACGCGGCGCTTCCTCGTGATCGCGCCCGCGATCATCTGGGCGATCTCGCGGGCGCCCATGACCACCGCCAGATACACGCCGCCCTTGGCCATCACCTTTGAGCACTCCTTGAACGACGACGCGCCGACCGCGTCGAGCACGGCGTCGTACCCCGGCCCGCCGGTGTCCGCCGGTGTTGATCCGTCGACCGTGTAATCAACGACGCGGTCCGCGCCGAGCGACTCGACCAGTTCCAGGTTGCGCGTGCTGCACACCGCGGTGACGTGCGCCCCGAGGTGCTTCGCGAGCTGGACGGACGCGCAGCCGACCGCGCCGGAAGCGCCGATGACCAGCACGCGCTGACCCGGGCGGGTCTCGGATTTCTTCTGCAGGAAATACCGTGCGGTGAGCAGGCCGAACGGGATGCACGCGGCCTCGCGGTGGGTCATGCCCTCGGGCATCGCGCCGATCATGCCGTCGGCGCGGATCGTCAGGTACTCGGCGTTCGTGCCGAGCGGTTTCATGAAGGGCGCGATGCCGTAGACGTCCTCGCCGACACGGAACCCAGAGACGTCGGCGCCGAGCGCCTCGATGACGCCCGCGAACTCGACTCCGAGGCGCTTGCGTCGCGGCCTGAAAACACCGAGCGCCAGCCGCGCCGGGAGCCAGAAGGCGAGGCGCGGGAGCTCGAAGGCGCGCACGCGGACATCTCCGGAGCTCACCGTCGAGGCTTCGACGCGGACGAGCACCTCGCCCGGCCCAGGCGAGGGCTTCGGGACGTCCCGAACCTCGATCACCTCGGGCGGGCCGTAGCGCTCCACCACCGCCGCTCGCATCGTCTCATCGGGCATCGGTCAGCTGACCACCGCGCCGGGCGCCATCTCCCCCATCGGTGTGAGCAGGACCACGCTCCGCTCCTCGGCCCCCTTCGCCGCGTCGCTCGCGGCCAGCAGCATCCCCCGGCTCTCCTCGCCGCGGATCTTCCGGGGGGCGAGATTGGCGACGATCACGATGTGCTTGCCGACGAGGTCGGCGGGGTCGTAGTGGCCCTTGATGCCGGCGCAGATCTGGCGGGGGGCGCCGGAGCCGTCGTCGAGCTGGAGCCTGAGGAGGCGGTCGGCGTCGGGGTGGTTCTCCGCCTCGACGATCTTCGCGACGCGCAGGTCGACCTTGGCGAACTCGTCGAACGTGATCTCCGGCTTGGCTTCGGACACTGGGGACTCCTGTGGCAGCGAGTGGGTGTGGGATGGCGAAAATTGGCGAAAAAACAAGGGCGAACGGGACGGACCCGCGCCGCCGGGCCGTCTAGTCTACCGGGACGGGCCGCTCTCTGGAGGGCGGAAACCGCGTTCGCCGATACCCATACAGCCACCGAGAGACCCCTCACGCCACCCCCCGGAACCCGGACCCCCGCGATGCCCCGACCCATCGTTTTCGCGTTCGCCATCCTCACGCTCGCCGCCTCCGCCCTCGCCCAGCCGCTCGACATCGTCATCGAGCAGCTCCGCGTCCGGGGCAAGCTCGGGACGAGCCAGATCGGGTACGTCGTCGTGGACGTGAACACGGGCGAAGAACTCGCGGCGTACAACCACAACGACCTGTTCATCCCCGCGTCGAACCAGAAGCTGCTCACCTCCATCGCGGCCCTCTCCGTGCTCGGGCCGGAGTTCGTCTTCGAGACCGAGATCGCGTACGACGAGGAGGCGAACCGCGTCGTCATCCGCGGGGCGGGCGACCCGGCGTTCGGCGACCCGAAGCTCCTCGAGGAGATGGGCCTGGCGGTGAGCGATTTCGCCCAGGCGATCGTCGGCGCGATGATCGGCGCGGGCGTGAGCACCGGGGCGGAGCTGATCATCGACGACCGGATCTTCGACCGCGACTTCGTGCACCCGACGTGGCCCAAGGGCCAGCTCAACCGCTGGTACTGCGCCGAGGTCGCCGGGCTCACCTTCCACACGAACACGATCTCGATCTTCGCGACGCCCCAGCGGCCGGGCACGCCGCCGTCGATCACCCTCGAGCCGGACGCGCGGTGGCTCGAGATCGATCCGCGCAAAGCGCGCTCGGTCAACTCCGGCCGCCACACCCTTTGGGCCGCGCGCCAGCACATGACCAACAACATCTCCCTCCGGGGGGACTCGCGCCACGCCTCCACGCCCGTCGAAGTCACCGTGCACGACCCGGCCGACTTCTTCGGCAAGCTCATCGAGCAGACGATGAGCAACGAGGGCATCCCGGCGCGGGGCGTGCGGCTCGCCGTCGAGACCGACCGCCTCGACGAGATCCCGGTCGTCCAGACGATCCGCACCCACATGCCCACCGTCCTGGAGCGGTGCAACACCGACTCGCAGAACCTCTACGCCGAGTCGCTCCTCAAGCGCATGGGCCACGAGATCACCGGCGAGGCCGGGAGCTGGCGGAACGGGACGACGGTCGTCCGCATGGTCGCGCGGGAGCGCGCCGGCGCGGTCTCCGGCAAGGACGTCATCGTCGCGGACGGCTCGGGCATGAGCCGCGAGAACCGCGTGACCCCCGAGACGATCGTCCGCCTCCTCGTCTCCTGCGCCAAGGACAAGAAGGTCTACACCCCGCTCCTGGAGAGCCTCGCCACGCCCGGACGCGGGACGCTCCGCTCGCGGTTCACCTCCGCAGGCGATTCGCTCCACGGCAACGTCTACGCGAAATCGGGCTACCTCAAGGGCGTGAGCGCCCTGTCGGGGTACGTCACGGACGAGCGGACGGGCCGGGCCGCGGCGTTTGCCGTGATCCTGAACGACGTCCCGAGCTCCGTGGCGCGGTCGTGGGTGAAGGACTTCGAGGAGGGCCTCGTCCGCGCGATCGACGAGCACTTCCACTCGGGCGAACCGGGGCGGATCCTCGGGCCGCGGTGAGCCGGCGCGAGCCCGTTAGACTGTCGGCGTGAGATCCAACGGCACATCGGGGACGTCCGGGGGCGCGATCCAGCGCACCATCGACGAGCTGCACGCGCGCTACGCCGACCTCAGGGAGGGCCGCGTGGCGGACTACATCCCCGAGCTCGCCAAGACGGACCCGGACCTCTTCGGCATCGCCGTCGTGACGGTCGACGGCGAGGTGTACGCCGCCGGCGACGCCGAGACGACCTTCACGCTCCAGTCCATCTCCAAGCCCTTCGTCTACGGCCTCGCGCTGGAGCAGCACGGTCGGCAGAAGGTGCTGCAGCACGTCGGCGTCGAGCCGACGGGCGACGCGTTCAACTCGATCATCAAGATGGACGCCGCGAACCGCCCGCACAACCCGTGCGTGAACGCGGGGGCGATCGCGACGACGGGGCTCCTGGAGGGGGACGATCCCACCGCGCGACTCCAGGCGATGCTCGCGATGTTCGAGAAGTACACCGGCGAGCGCGTCCGGGTGGACATGTCCGTGTTCACCTCCGAGCGCACGACGGGTCACCGCAACCGGGCCATCGCCCACTTGCTGCTCAACTTCGGCATGATCGAGCACAACGTCGAGCAGATCCTCGACCTGTACTTCCAGCAGTGCTCGATCAACGTCACCACGCGCAAGCTCGCGGTGATGGCCGCGACGCTCGCGCACGGCGGCGTCAACCCGATCACCGGCGAGCGGGCCATCGAGCCGAAGTACCTGCGCGACGTTCTGACCGTGATGTACACCTGCGGGATGTACGACTACGCGGGCGAGTGGGCGTACACCGTCGGCCTGCCCGCCAAGAGCGGGATCTCGGGGGGCATCCTCGCCGTCGTCCCTGGCGTCGGCGGCCTCGCGGTCTTCTCGCCCCGCCTCGACGAGCACGGGCACTCCGTCCGGGGCTTGCGCGTCTGCGAGGACCTCAGCGCCGAGTTCGGCATCCACCTCTTCGACGCCTGCATGCACGACGACCCGGGCGAGACCGTCAGCGGGATGTTCCAGCGCCGGACGCCCGACGAACAGGACGAGGACCGCATCGACCACGAGAGCACCATGAGCCCGACGCACTACGAGCCCGACCGCGGGCGGGCGCCGGAGCCGGGGCCGGAGTCGCACTGACGCTCGCGCGCGCGGTATCCTCGCTCCCTATGAACACGTCCACGACCGATCCGGGGCTCTCCGCGCACTTTGCCCATCTTCTCGAGCGAGGCCTCGCCGGCGACCCCCTCCCGCGCGAGGACGCCGCCGCCATCCTGAGCGAGGGCACCCCCCTGCTCCCCCTTCTCCATGCCTGCGGGGAGATCCGGCGGGCGCGGTTCGGGAACCGCGTGCAGGTGCACGTGCTCAACAACGTCCAGAACGGGGCCTGCCCCGAGGACTGCGGCTACTGCGGGCAGGCGAAGACCTCCGACGCGCCGATCCAGCCGTACAAGCTCAAATCGCGCGAGGAGATCATCGAGGAGGCCGCCCAGGCGAAGGCGAGCGGGGCGTTCCGGTACTGCATGGTCCTCTCCGGACGCGGGCCGAGCGACGCGGACATCGACCACATGACCGGCTGCATCCGCGAGGTGAAGGCGAAGTTCGGCCTCGAGACGTGCCTCTCCTCCGGCCTGCTCGACGCGGACAAGGCGCAACGCCTCCGCGACGCCGGCCTCGACCGGCTGAACCACAACCTGAACACCTCCCGCGAGCGCTACCCCGAGATCTGCACCACGCACACCTACCAGGACCGGGTGGACACGCTCACCGCCGCGCGGTCCGCCGGGCTCCAGCTCTGCACGGGGCTGATCGTGGGGATGGACGAATCCGCGGAGGACCTGATCGACGTCGCCACTGAGTTGTCGTCGCTCGGGGCGGAATCGATCCCGGTGAACTTCCTCGTGCCGATCCCGGGCAACCGCGTGAAGACCCCCCGCTCCTGCGGCGCGGCGCTCTCGCCCCGCTTCTGCCTGCGGGTGCTCTGCCTGTTCCGCCTGATGAACCCGAAAGCCGAGGTCCGCGTCGCGGCCGGTCGCGAGCACCACCTGCGCTCGCACCAGGCGCTGGCGCTGGAGCCGGCGAACTCGCTCTTCGTGGACGGCTACCTGCTCACGCAGGGCGACGGCCCGGTCGGCACCCTCCGGATGATCCGCGACGCGGGATACGACATCGACCTCCACGGCGCCGAGTGGCCCGATCGACTGCGTCGAGCGGTCGAGAACGGCACGCTCGACCCCAACGCGGAGCTGGACGGCGAGCTGAACATGCTCAAGCCGGACCGCCTCTCGGAGCGCAAGCTCGCGAAACTGCGCGTTCGCGTCGGCGAGGACGCGCCGGTCGGGTAGGCCGCGACAGGCGGTCGCTCAAAAATGACAGCGGGCCCGATGTCTCGGGCCCGCCGGGGGAAAACACGTCTTCACAAGGTCGCGCGGGGGATTACGCGCGCTTGCGAGTGCGGATGAGCATGAGCCCACCGATGCCCGCGAGGGCAACCGAACCGGGGTTCGGGACAACGTTGAACGAGCCGGTGAAGGCGCCGTCCGCGTTGAAATCGTCGAAGAAGCCGAACTGATTGACGGCGGCGTCCGGGGTGATGTTCGTGAGCGTCCAGGACGCGTCGCGGTCATCGCCGACGGAGAGGCCGCTGTCACCCAGCAGGTCGGCGAGCTGCGCGCCGAGCGTGAACTCGAGCGTGCCGCCGATGAACGAGTCGTTCGCGGTGAGCGAACCGGACTCGGTCAGGATGAAGACGGCGCCGTTGGAGCCGTCGGTCATCCCGTAGGTGCCGCTGATGATGACGTTCTCGTCAGCGTCCGTCACGGTGAACGAGCCGTTGAAGGCGTTGCTCACGAACATGCCGGGGGCGACCTGGGTCACCGTGCCCATGTCGACCGTCTTCTCGAAGCGGGCGTCCTCGAAGGTGATCGCCGTGCCGCCGAGACCGGTCAGGTCGACCGTGAAGTCGACCATGGTGTCGACCGTGATGGTGCTGGACGCGTCGCCCATGCCCGCGGTCGTGTGGTTGACGCTGAGCTCGCCCGACGGATCGGCGTAGGTCATCGAGACCGTGCCCGGGCTCAGCGAGATGCCCGCCTGAGCGGTTGTGGCGACCGCCCCTGCGATGCATGACAGAACAAGTGCGTTCTTCATTGCAATGACTCCTCTTCTCCTCACCTGTGCGCACTGAGGTGATGGGTGTATGTCGAGAGGGCGACCACGAACGGACAGCCTCCCGCGAAACAAAACTGGGATGTCGTCAGGGACTCTGACTCACTCCGAGACCTGTGCAGGGTCTCTCACTGAAGAGTATCTTTCGGACGTGAGAACGCAAGCACGAATCCTCAAAAAAGGCGATACAAACGGACCTGGACGTCCGATAAAAACGGGTTCGGGACTGTGTTTGAACCGTGTGAGCGGGGCGCTCAGACCAGCTCGCCGAAGAGCGTGAGCACGTTCGCGCGGGCGATTCTCACCGGGACGACACGCCCGATAAGCCCCGTCGCGGAGCGGGATTCCGGGCAATCGAAGACGACGATCAGGTCGCCGTCCGTCCGCCCGGTCATCTGCACCGGGCCGCTCGCCCGCTCCAGGACCGCCGCGTTCGTCGATCCCAGGTCCGATCGCCCCCCCACCGTGAGGGAGATCATGCCGTTGTCGGCCGCCTTCGCCCGTTTGCGCTCGTACTCGCTCACCCCCTGGACGAACACGTGCTGCACGCTCCCGACCAGGGACTCGCTGATCCCGTGGCTGATCTCGTGCTGCACGGCCAGCAGCTCGTTGCACCGGCGACGCTTGTCCGCCTCGCTCACGTCATCCGCGATGCGGTCGTACGCGGTGGTGCCGGGGCGGGGAGAGTACTTGAAGATGAAGCAGTTCTTGTAGCGGGCCTTGCGGAGGAGCTCCTTGGAGGCCTCGAAATCCGCCTCGGTCTCGCCGCAGAAGCCGACGATCATGTCCCCCGCCAGCATGAGCGGGCGTCCCTTCTCGGGCTCGTCGAGGAAGTGGCGGGCCCGGTCGAGGAACTCGAGGTACTCCTCGACGGTGTACCCGCGGTTCATCCGGGCGAGCACCTCGTTCGAGCCGGACTGCGCCGGGATGTGCAGGTAGCGACAGATCCGCGGTGAATCGCGCATGACCTCGAGGACGTCGTTCCCGAAATCGCGCGGGTAGCTCGTGACGAAACGCAGGCGCTGGATGCCCGGGGCCTCGTCGTGGATCCGCTTGAGCAGGTCGGCGAAGGTCGTCACGCGCTCGCCCGCGTAGACGTCGCGGTGGTGCGACCCTTTGTACGTCCGGCCCTTCTGCGGCTGCGTGACACCGCTCACGGAGACGGAGCTGCCGTGCTCGAAGCGGTAGTGGTTCACCGTCTGCCCGAGGAGCGTGACCTCGACGATGCCCGCGTCCGCGAGGCGCTTGCACTCGTCGACGATGTGGTCCGGCGGGCGGTGGATCTCCGCCCCGCGCGTGTGCGGGACGACGCAGTACGTGCAGAACTTGTTGCACCCGCGCGTGATGCGGACGTACGCGCTGCCGTCGTGATCGTGAGGCGAGACGGCGCGCGACAGGTCGAGCATCTCGAGCGAGTCCCCCGCGGCCGCGAGCGTGGAGCTGCGGCGGGACGAGTCGCCCTGCAGCGCGACGACCTTGGCGCTGCGCTCGGCGCTGGCGTGGACGGTTCGCCCGTTCTTCTTCGTGAGGACCGCCTCGTCCCCCGCGTCCGCCACGAGGCTCTCGCGGGTGCGGACGGCGTTATCGAGCAGGCCCGGGAGCTTGTCCAGCTCCGCCGGCCCGCAGAGCACGTCCACCACCGGGAACTTGCGGATCAGGTCCTCCCCGTCGCGCTCGGCCATGCACCCGAGCACCCCCACCACGAGGCCCGGCTCCTCCGCCTTGCGGAGGCGGATCTCGCCCAGGCGGGAGCGGACCTTCTGCTCGGCCAGGTCGCGCACGGAGCAGGTGTTGTAGAGCACGACGTCCGCCGCGTCCGCCTCGCCCGTGAGGCGGTAGCCCAGGGCCGTGAGCTGCCCGGCGACGAGCTCGGAATCGAGCTCGTTCATCTGGCAGCCGAAGGTCTCGAGATAGACGGTGCGGTCGGGCATGGGGGGACGATTGTAGCCCGCTTCCGCGTCGGGCTCACGACCCGATCCGCTCAGGCGTACCGACGCAGGATCGCCTCCGCCGAGCCGACGTACCCGCCCCCGAAGAGCCGCACGTGCACGAGCGTCGGGTAGAGCACGTACAGGTCGCGGCGCTCCTCGAAGAAGCCCTCACGGATCGGGAACAGCTCGTGGTACCGCCCGAAGAAGGCCTCGCCGAAGGTGCCGAACATCGTGATGAACGCCAGCTCGACCTCGCGGTCGGCGAAGTACACCGCCGGATCGATGAACGACGCGACCCGCCCGCCTCGGGTGAGCACGTTGCCGGACCAGACGTCGCCGTGGACGAGCGCCGGAGCATCAGAGCCCGCGAGCAGCTCCCCGAACCGACGCACCAGCTTCTCGACGCGAGACACGAAGCCGGCGTCGACACGCCCGGCGTCGCGTGCCAGCTTCGTCATATGAGTCACCCGATGTTCGGCGTAGAATGACGGCCAGTCGCTCGACCACGCGTTCGGCTGGGGCAGGCCGCCGATGACGGTGTCGAAATCGAACCCGTACCCGCGTCCGCTTGTCACGCGGTGAAGCGCCGCGAGATGCTCGGCGGCGTCACGCTCGATCTCGTCGCGCGTGCCGTGCGCATCGGTCTCGACGAACTCCACCGCAAACACGCCCGGCGCCTCGGCGAGAACACGCGGCACGGGAAGCTCGCTCCGCTCGGCGAGGGCGCGGAGGGACCGGGCCTCGACGTCGATCTCGGGCCCGCCGCGTTTGATGACGACGCGACCCCCGGACACGAGCGTGGCGATGGCGACATCACCCACGCACCCCCCGCCCATGGCGCGGACGGAGGCGACGGGTTCGCCGAGGAGTCGCTCGAGTGCGGAGGGGTTGTTCGGCACGACCTGAGCAGAATAAAAAAACCGGCGCTCGTAGCGAGCGCCGGTCGGGATTCAATCGGAATCAGGCGGGTCGATTACGGGAGCATCTGCCCGTCGACGTAGACGAAGTTGCCGGTGTGCAGGAGGTTGGCCTGCTGGAGGTTGCCACCGGCGGGGAGGCCGCGCTTCCAGATGCGGAGGATGAAGTTCGAGCGGTTGTTGGGGCTCGGGGTGGTCACGTCCTCGTCCTGCTCATCGACGAAGATGTTGTCGCGGCGCTGGCGCTCGTCCGGGCCGCCGACGGTGGAGCGGTAACGGACGTTGCTGGGCGTCGGGGTCTGCTCGAAGGAGACGTGGCCGTCGCCGTAGCCGATGTTGCCCGCCCAGCTCTTGGTGGAGCCGTGGATCGCGAGCGTGCGGGACCCGGTGCCGAAGTCGTCCTCGGTGAGCTCCCACTCGCCGTCCACCGGGGACATGTTGCCCTGGTAGACGGGGCCGCGGTTGGCGACGAGCGGCGTGTTGGGCCCGGCCTCGGTGGCGGTCCACCAGTTGGCGCGGACACCGGCGAGGACGATGTGGGCGAAGCTGTTGTGCGTGATCGGGTCGTCGGCCATGAGATTGGGGTTGGAGACGCCGCCGCTGGTCTCGTCGAGCGGGCTGCCCTTGAGCAGCGGGTCGAAGAGCGCGTTCTCAGGGCTGTTGACGCTGCCGTTGAAGCTCGGGTCGTTCGAGGACCACTTGTACTGGTAACCGGAGTAGACCTGCGCGCCGGGGAAGGTCTCGGAGGGATCGATCAGGATCTCGGGGCTGATGAGCCGCTGGAAGACCAGGATCGAGAAGACGTTGCCCGTGCGGTTCTTGAGCTCGTCCGAGATGGCGATGGTGTCGTCGTCCGCGTCGACGATGCTCGGGAAGGGGAAGAGCTCGCGGTTGTCGGCGGAGAACGCGATGTTGGCCGACATGATCGCCCGAACCTGCGCGCCGGACTTGATCTGGTTCGCGTTCTTGCGAGCCTTGCCGAGCGCCGGGAGCAGGAGCCCGATCAGCAAGGCGATAATCGAGATCACCACGAGCAACTCGATGAGCGTGAATCCGCTCCGGTCGCGTGTTGTTTTCATCACAGTAACTCTCCAATCGCCTTTGTCGTGTCGTTCACCGGGTCGGGTGAAGGCTGGGTGGTCCCGGCCCGGGTGTTCTTCGGGAACCTTTGGTGTGAAGGCGTGGCGCGGGTGGTGGCCCGCGCCACGCGTCCGGCGGTCGTCGCCGGGTGGACGAATATCAGCTCAGGAATCGAGGCCGTCGACCCACACGAACTGCGCGCTCTGGTTGGAGGCGAGCGTCTGATCCGTGATCGTCGTGGCGGTCGGGATGCCCTGGGCGAAGACGCGGAGGAAGGCGTTGCGACGGACCTGCGGGGAGCTGTTCATCGCGCCCTCGTTCGTCTCGTCGACGAACATGTTGTCGTTCTGCGTCACCGGCATCGAGCCGGAGTTGTCCAGGAAGGTCACGGCCGAGGGGTCCGGGTCGGTCACGTAGTCGACGTGGCCGTCGGCGAACGCGACGTTGCCCTCCCAGCGGGTCTCGGAACCGTGGAGGAAGAGCGACGTGGAGGTGATCCCGAGCTCGTTGTCCAGGAGCATCCAGTCCATGCCCGAACCGGGCGTGGCCGTCTGCTGGTACACCGGGCCGCGGTTGCCCCAGATCGGCGTGGAGGAACTCAGCGAGTTCTGCCAGAACACCGTGCGGGCGCCGGCGATGGCCATGTGCGCGTAGCTGTTGTGGCCGATCTGCGACTGGATCATCATGTTGGCGGCCTGGTTGTCACGCTCGTGATCAACCGGGGAGCCCTTGAACTTCGGGTCGTAGAGCGCGTTCGGGGGGTTGAGGGCGCCGCGGGGGCTGTCGTACTCGTACTCCTCGTAGGCCACGATCTGACCGGCCTCGGCGGGGCTCACGCAGAGCTCCGGCACGATGGTCTGCAGCTGGATCATCATCGAGAGGATGCTGCCGGTGCGGTTCTCAGAGGCGATCGAAGCCGCGGCCACGGAGCCGTTGTCGAAGCGGTCGGGGAGCGGGAAGCTGCCGCCGGTATCCGAAGCGAACTGGACCATGCCCTGCATGATGCCGCGGACCTGCGTGCCGTCCTGGATCTTCTTGGCGTTCTGCTGGGCCCGGCCGAGGGCGGGGAGCAGGATGCCGAGCAGCAGCGCGATGATCGAGATCACCACGAGCAGCTCGATGAGCGTGAAGGCGCGTGCTTTCTTGTTCATTGTCTTTGTCTCCGGTGCGAACGTGTTCCGGGACCGTTGATCGCTGTCCCGGGCCCGCCAGAGCGGGCTACAAGGTGTGCCACGGGCTTCGAACGGGACATCCCCGCACGAAAAGCCCACATCACGTCCTCGTTTTCTCGCTCACTGCCGTCGGGCGTCCGGAGACAATCAGATAATCGCGATGAGTGCAAGGAAAGCAGATACCCGCGTTCGCGCGATTGCAGTGGTGTGAGGCCCGAATGCCGCCGTGTCATGGAAACGGCGTCTTCGGAACGAGGCCGATGAGATACCATGACGGGAGACGATTCGGATGTCAAGACCTTCCGGTTCCCCCAACCCCCTTGCACACCTGTTTTTCCGGACAGAACCATGCCTTTGAGCAGCAGAATCACCGAGCTCGGCCTGAGCATCCCAACATCTTCCAAACCTCTGGCCGTATACGTCCCCGCGGTGCGCCTCCCGACGACCCCCGAACAGATCGTCGTGTCCGGGCAGGTCCCGCTCGTGGACGGCGCCCCGCTCGCCACCGGACGGGTCCCCAACGAGGTCTCGATCGAGCTCGCCCAGGAGTGCGCCCGCCGGTGCGTCCTGAACGCCCTGGCCGCGGTCGCTGGCGTGGTGGACGGCGATCTGGACCGCATCGACCGCGTCGTCCGGCTGGGTTGCTTCGTCGCGTGCGACGCCTCGTTCACCGAACACCCGAAGGTCGCCAACGGCGCGAGCGAACTGCTGCACGAGCTGCTGGGCGAGAAGGGCCGGCACGCGCGCGCGGCCGTCGGGGTGCCGTCGCTCCCGCTCGGCGTCCCGGTGGAGATCGAGTTCCAGTTCCTGCTCCGTCCCTGATCAGGGCCGGAGCGCCCGGCTCAACCGAACGCCTTCTTGTAATCCGCCACGAACTTCTCGAGGCCGGACGAGGTGAGCGGGTGGTTCATCATGGACTTGATGACGCTGAACGGCACGGTGGCGACGTCGCTGCCCGCGAGGGCGGCGTCGACCATGTGCATGGTGTGGCGGATGGAGGCGGTGAGGATCTTGGTCTCGAAGCCGTAGTTGTCGTAGATCACGCGGATCTGGCGGATCAGGTCCATGCCCTCGGCGCCGATATCGTCGAGCCGGCCGACGAAGGGGCTCACGAGGAACGCGCCGGCCTTGGCGACCATCAGCGCCTGAAGCGGCTGGAAACACAGGGTGAGGTTGGTGCGGACGCCCTCGTCTGAGAAGGCCTTGCACGCCTTGAGGCCGGCGACGGTGCTCGGGAGCTTGACGACGATGTTCGGCGCGATCTTCGCCGCCTCGCGCCCCTCTTTCATCATGCCGTCGAAATCGGTGGCGATGACCTCGGCGGAGACGGGCCCGTCGACGACGTCGCAGATCTCCTTGAGCCGCTTGGTGTAGTCGACGCCCTCCTTCGCGATGAGCGAAGGGTTGGTGGTGACCCCGTCGAGCACGCCCATGTCGTGGGCTTCCTTGATCTCGTCGAGGTTGGCCGTATCGATATAGAGGTCCATCGCGTGTCCTTTCGCGTGGTGTGTGCGCTGGAGAAGTATCGGCGCGCAGGATATCACGCGTGAGCGCGGAGCGCCGGGACACGCACGACCGGGTTAGCTGAACAGGGCGATGAACGCGACGCCCGTCATCACGAGCCCGAAGATCGCCAGCCCGAAAATCACGGACTGGACGGTCTTGTTCGCGAAGGGCGAGGGCTCGCGGGTCTTGTCCACCGCGATCGGCGCCGACTGCGCCGCCTCGGAGGAGGCGATCGCCTTGAGCGTCTCGGCTGGGGCGTCCTTGTGCGCGATGGGCGGGAGCTCGCCCGTCCGCACCGCCCGGAGGTCGACCAGCAGGTCGGCCGCGTCCTTGTAGCGGTTGCGCCGGTCCTTGGCCATCATCATCTCGATGACCTCGGAGATGCCCGTCGAGAGCTTCGGGTTCACGTGGTCCGGGGCGACGAGCGGGGCCTTGAGGTGCTTCTGCATCACCTCGGTGGGGTTCTTCCCGTTGTACGGCACGTTGCCCGTGACCATGTGGTAGAGCGTCGCGCCGAGGGAGTAGATGTCCGCCTGCGGGCCGACGTTCACCTCGCCACGGATCTGCTCGGGCGAGATGTAGTACGGCGTGCCGTAGGCCTTGCCCTTCTCCGCCAGGGCGGCGTCCTTGTCGTCGATCGCTCGGGCGAGGCCGAGGTCGGCGAGCTTGGCGACGCCGTTGGGCGTGATGATGATGTTCTTGGGCTTCACGTCGCGGTGGATCAGGCCCTTCTCGTGGGCGTGGCGCAGCGCGTCGGCCGTCATGATGATGATGTCCAGCGCTTCGGCCTCGTTGTAGCGCTTGTCCCGGACGATCGCGTCGTGGACCGTCTCGCCCTCGACGTACTCCATCACGAAGTAGTGGAACTCGCCCGCTTTGGCCACGTCGAACGCCTGCACGATGTTCGGATGGTTCATCTGCGCCGCGGCACGCCCCTCGGCGTAGAACCGCTCGATGAACTGCGGGTTGGTCGAGAACTTCCGCGGCAGGACCTTGATCGCGACGAGGCGATCCAGGGAGATCTGCTTGGCCTTGAAGACGGTCGCCATCGCGCCGGCGCCGAGCTTGCCGATGACCCGGTAGCCCGGGAGCTTCTGCCCGGATCGCTCCGCCTCGACGGCGGACTTGAGCCGGGTGAGCTGGCGGTCGGTGACGATGTTGTTCCGCACGAGCAGGTCCGCGAGGGAGCGATCCGACGCGTCCTCGCGCTTGCGGCTGATGCACTCGGCGATCTCGCCCTCGGTCGCGAGGCCCTGCTCGACGACGAGGCGACCCAGGATGGTGTCGACCGAGGAGGTCGGGGCGTTCGTGGAACCGGAGGAGGTGCCGCCTCGGGAGCCGCTCGACGTGCCGCTGCCCGAGCTGGCGTCGGCGTCTTCGTCCTCGGGCACGGGGGTGCCGCGGAGGATCTCGAGCGTGTCCGAGGGCTCGGGCTTGCGCTCCGGCGGGGACTGCCCCGGGTCGTTGTCGTCCGGCATCTTCAACGGCATCGTGTCCGAAGGCATCGGCAGACGTGACTCATCATTCGGATCGTTCTTTTTGGACTCGCCGTTTGATTGCACCGCGATGGACCCCGACGTATTGCGGCTCACACTAGAAGCGGAGGGGGAGGGTGTCAATCGATCGTCGTTGGGTGAAGTCTTGCGGTTGAAGCTCGTCATGCGCGTTCGACCATATGTAGGCACTGAGTTCGGGATGTGACGTCGACCCCCACGTTCCCGCGGAACGCGTCTCCTCCTCCATGAAGGTGTCTTTGTATTCGGCCGGGGCAACACGCCTGTTCCCTCAGAATCAGCCCGAACGGCGAACTCTCTGCGATTCCAACGAAAAACCCCCCCGATAAGCGAGGGGGCGGGCGGGCTTGTCATCGGTGTCGATGAGGCGAAAAGGCAGAGCGACTCGGATTCTTTCGGCGTCGCGGCCGGGCGACACCGTGCGGGCGATCCGGCGCGGTTACTTGATCCCGTCCTGCGACGCCATGAACTCCAGCATGTCGACGCAGCGGTTCGCGTAGCCCCACTCGTTGTCGTACCACGACACGACCTTGAAGAAGCGGTCGTTCAGCTCGATGCCCGCGTCCGAGTCGTAGATCGAGCTCGCCGGGTGCGTCGCGAAATCGCTCGAGACCACCGGCTCGTCGCAGTACTCCAGCACGCCGCTCATCGGCCCCTCGGCCGCCGCCTTCATCGCGGCATGGATGTCCGCGAGCGTCGTCGCCTTGGCCGTGCGGAACGTGAGGTCCACGACGGAGACGTCCGCCGTCGGCACGCGGAAGGACATGCCCGTGAGCTTGCCCTTGAGGTCCGGGATGCACAGGCCGACGGCCTTCGCGGCGCCGGTGCTGGCGGGGATGATGTTCATGTACGCGTTGCGTCCGCCGCGGAGGTCCTTCTTGGAGGGCCCGTCCTGCGTGGGCTGGGTGGCGGTGACGGCGTGGATGGTGGACATGAGGCCCTCTTCGAGGCCGAAGCCGTCGTTGATGACCTTGGCGACCGGGGCGAGGCAGTTCGTCGTGCAGCTCGCGTTGGAGACGACGGTGTGCTTGGACGCGTCGTACACCTCGTGGTTGACCTTGTAGCAGACGGTCGGGACGTCGTCCGGGCTCTTCGTCGGCGCGGAGATCAGGACGCGCTTCGCGCCGCCGGCGAGGTGCTTGGACGCGCCGTCCTTGTCCGTGAACAGGCCGGTGGACTCGAGGACGTAGTCGACGCCCATGTCCCCCCAGGGCAGCGCCGCGGGGTCGCGCTCCGAGCAGGTCTTGATCGCCTTGCCGTTCGCGACGATCGAGTCGTCGGTGTGCGAGACGTCGCCGTCGAAGCGGCCGTGGACCGTGTCGTACTTGAGGAGGTAGGCGAGGTTCTCGGGGCCGACGAGGTCGTTGACCGCGACGAACTCGATGTTGCGCCCCTGCGCCGCGCGGAGGGCGAGGCGACCGATGCGACCGAAACCGTTAATACCAACGCGAAGTGCCATCGTCAGCTCCGTGTGTGGGAGTCAGGGTGTGTGTGAAATCGTGCGAAATATGACCCTCCCGGGCGAGCGGACGCGAGCGTCAGCTTCCGGGTCGGGACATCAAGCGTACAAGAATCTCGAGCCCTCGTGCGAGGCGGTCCTCGCTCGCCGCGAAGCTCAGGCGGAAATGGGTGTCGCGGTCGGAGAAGACGCCGCCCGGGATCACGAGCAGGTTCTCCTCGACGCACCGCTCGCAGAACTGCTGACCGGTCATCCCCAGGTGCTCGGGGACCTTCGCGAAGCAGTAGAACGCCCCGCCCGGCTTGAAGACCTCGGTCGCCCCGCCGAGCTTCTCGAGCACCATGTCCCGGCGCGTCTCGTAGTTCGAGACAATCGACGAGATGTCCGCATCGAACGTCGCGAGGCAGCCGTGCTGGAGCGGCGCGGGGGCGCAGACGTAGGTGTACTGCTGAAACTTGGCGACCTGGTCCGTGAGCCACGTCGGGCCCGCGATGTAGCCCATCCGCCACCCCGTGCACCCGTAGGTCTTGCCGAAGCCACGGATGACGCACTGCGTCTCGTGCGCGCCGGGCAGGCGGCACGGGCTCGGGCACTTGCCCTCATCGTTCCGCGCGTCCGAGTACACGAACTCGTCGTAGATCTCGTCGGAGATGAGCAGGACGCCCTTGTCCGCGCACAGCCTGGCGAGCTCGTCGACCTCCTCGCCCGTCATCACGACGCCGGTCGGGTTCCCGGGTGAGTTGAGCAGGACGGCGCGGGTGTTCTCGGTGATGAGCGGCGCGACGCGCTCGGCGGTCATGCGGAAGTCCGGGTACGTGTCGCACCGGACGGCGCGCCCGCCGCAGATCGTCGCCATGTGCGGGTACGCGACGAAGTAGGGATCGGGGATGATGATCTCCGCGCCGGGCTCGAGCAACGCGAGGTTGAGCAGGTACAGCGCGCCGCTCGTGCCGGACGTGACGACGACGCCGACGTCCTCGTTGCCCGCGTCCCAGCCCAGGTCCGCCCCGAGGTGCTCGCGGATGCGGCGCACGAGCGGCGGGATGCCCTGCGTGAGCGTGTAGCCGTTGTGGTCGTTCGCGATCGCGTCCTGCGCCGCCTCCTTCACCGCGTCCGGGACGGGGAAGTCCGGCTGGCCGATCGAGAGGTTGATCGGGTCCTTGAGCTTGGCGCCGAGGTGGAAGACGCGCCGGATGCCCGAGACATCGACGTCGCCGCAGCGGGACGCGAGAACGGATGAATTGACCATCGCCGTGCCCTCCGTAGGCGCGCAGTGATACCGCTCACCACGCGCCGAGAGTTCCCGTCCGTGCGCGGATTACTTCTCTTCGTCCTGCTTCTTGGTGGTCTTCTTGCCGATGGCGGCCTTGCGGTTGCCGACCTTCGGCAGCCCCACGGCGGCGTTCTTCTCGGGGTTGAACTTGCCCTGCTCCTTGAGTCGCTCGATGCGCTCGTGGCGCTTGAGCACGTTGCGGTGCTGGGTGAGGTTGCCCTGGGTCTTGAGGCTAGAGTCGAGGCTCATGTCGTTGTCCGCCTTGTGCGTGCTGCGGGTGGCAGCGTGATGAATCCGAGTCTGTGCGCCCGGATCCCTCCGGCGCCGTTACCGATACTTGCTGAGATACGCGTCGCGAAAATCTCTCGCGCCGCCGTGATCGCGCTTGAACTCCCGCCCGAGCCGCTTGATCTGCGCCTCGAGCGACTGGCTCCGGGACGAGGAGACCTCCCCCGGCGCGAACGGCTCACGAACGATCACAATCGCGAGCCCACGATTATCTACAGGAAGCCGCGCCACTTCAAGCCCGGCATCGGCGAGGAATTCCGCGACCCGGTTCGCCTCCTCGAGGGCCTGGGTGGCCACGATGTAGTAGTTCATGCCCTCCCGGCGGGGGTCATCGGCCCAGTCATCCACCAGATATGGGTTCGGGAGCGGCCCGGACCGCACCGGTTGGGTGCCCTCACCGCCGCCGGGGGCCGCATCATCGTCCTCGATCAGCCCCTCGCGGACCGGGACGTTGTCCAGCGTCGGGTCCTGGATCCCCGCCAGATCGTTCCGCGCCTCGGTGGTCTTGTCCGCCCGGATCTCCCGGTCGCGGGTGAAGTACCCGATGAAGTACCCCCCGAAGAGCAGCGCGATGCCGACGCCGATCGCCAGGAAGACGTAGCCGACCGGCATCCGGATCGTCCGCCCGCTCGCGAGCAGGCCGCTCGATTCTTCGTCGCCCTCGTCTTTCGGCGCGTAGGACGGCTGGCCTTCGGCGAAAGGACCGCCGCGCTGACGTACCCGCACGAGTTCATACAAAGCCGGGCCGCGTCGTTTGCCCATGGGGGCATTATGGCAGGAAACCATGGCAACCGCGACCGTGAGGGAGCGGGCGGTTCAGATTGTCTCTGTGTGTCGGATTGGGTGCGGGTCCATCTCTGCAAGCACCGGCGCGTCCGCTCCCTGACAGTCGCGGTTGCTCCGTCACCCCTCCGCGATGACCGACGCCATCGCCAGATCGTCCGTGTGGCTCAGGCTCACGTGCCAGGCTTTCACACCCAGCTCGTCCGCGAAACGCTTCGCGACGCCCGTCACCGTGAGCCAGGGGGCGCCGTTCGCGTCGTGGACCACTCCCACGTCCGTCCACGCGATGCCCTGGGACCACCCCGTGCCCAGGCACTTCAGCGCCGCCTCTTTGGCCGCGAAGCGGACGGCGTAGTGCTCGAACCGCCGGCGCGGGCGGTCCTCGGCGTACGCGCGCTCGACGTCCGTGAAGACCCTTGCGAGGTACTTCTCGCCGTACTCCTCGATGGAGTGCTGCACGCGGTGCACGCGCACGATGTCGATGCCGTGGGCGAGGATGTGCATCCGATGAGTGTACCCGAGGCCCGCGGGGCGAGGCCTATTCCGGGCAGGGCCCGAAGAGGAAGATCGTCGCGACGAGGTCGCTGAAATCGACCGTGCCGGACGCGTCCGTGTCGCCCGGGCACCCCGGCTCACCGCCGCCCACGCCGCTGACCGCGAGCAGCGCCGGGTCGCTCGTCACGGAGCCCTCGGAATTGGTCACAACCGCGTCGTAGAACTGCACGTCGTCCCCGCTGACGTTCGAGAGCGTGAGCTCGAGCGTGGCCGAGCCCGACACGTTGCCGCCGTCGACGAGGGGGACCCCGGCCCGGCGCCACAGGACCGTCGGGAAGGGCGCGCCGACGGCGTCGACGATGAGCGTCACGTCCTCGCCGGGCGACGCGAGCGTCGCCCGGGGGTGCTCGACGACGCGCGGCACGAGACGCGTGGTGTTGAGCCTCGTGCGCACGAAACCGGAACTCTGGCAGGCGAGGATCAGGTCGGCGTCGAGATCGCCGTCGAGATCGGCCATCGTCGCGTCCGAGGGCGCGTCGCAGGTGATAAACGGCGCCGGGGGCATGAACGTGCGGCCGGCGTTCGTGAGCAGGACCGCGAACGAATCGCCGGTCGTCGAAACGGTGACGATATCGACGAGCCGGTCGCCGTTGACGTCCGCGAGGTGCGAGAAGCGTGCGTTCCCGACGGTGGTGACGGTCTCGAGCGGCTCGAACGCGCCGCCGCCCTGCCCGAAGAAGATGTTCAGCGCGTTCCCGTGGTTCGGCGTGGCCACGATGTCCGCGAAACCGTCGTTGTCCAGGTCCGCGACGGACGCGTCGAACACGTTCGCGAGTGTGGTGATGAAGACCGTTGTCCCGAGGAACCCCCCGGCGCCGTCGCCGTTCCGGACGACGACCGACGCGCCCAGCGTCGAGTGCACGAGGTCCGCGACGCCGTCGCCGCTGAGGTCGGCGAGCTCGATCGACTGGGGGCTGTTGGTGAGGTCGACCCGCTGCTCGTCCTGGAACGTGCCGTCGCCGTTGCCGAGCAGCACGGAGAGGTCCGTCGAATCCCGGTTGAGCACCGCGAGATCGAGCGCGCCGTCGCCGTCGAGATCCCGGACCTCCAGGTCGTTCGGCCCGGCGCCGACGAAGCGGAACTGCCCCACGGCGAACGTGCCGTCCCCGTTCCCGAGAAAAATGCGCACGAACCCGGAGCCGCCCGAGCCGTTGACCGCGACGATGTCCTGGTCGCCGTTGCCGTCAACATCCGCGAAGCGCACGGCCGTGGCGGTGAGCGCGGCGTCGACGCGGATCTCGGGCTGGAACGTGCCGTCGCCGTTGCCGAGGAGGAGGGAGACGCCGCGGTCCGCGCCGGTGGAGCTGCCGACGAGGATGTCGGCCGCGCCGTCGCCGTTGGCGTCGCCGGTGTCGAGCGCGACGGGCGAGTCGCCGACGGGGTGCATCCCGGGCGGGTCGAACATCGGCGGCGTCCCGCCGGCGAGGCAGGCGGACGCGATCGAGAGGGACAGCAGCATCGCGGCACGTGCGAACATCATGGGGCACTCTCCTTGACTTACGTTCGAGAACACAAGGAGTGCCCTTGTAGCACAGTCGGGAATTGTGTCAATAAAGAACCGCCAACGCCTTATTCAGAGGGCGTGAGGCCGGGGACGAGCGTGCCGCACTCGGGGCATGTGTTGCCGCGGATGCCGGTGCAGTTGTAGCGGCATTTGTAGGCGGGGCAGTAGTAGATGTTGCGGGCGCGGAGGATGTCGTGAAGGCCGCGCACGCTCCGTCGTCCGACATACCCCGGCATCCAGACGATGCCGGAGAACACGATGAGGAACGTCGAGCCGAGCGACACGCCGAGCAGCAGCATCGAATGCTCATATCTCTGTTGCAGCACCTTGAAGAGCTGAAACCCGAGGGCGTAGACACCCGCCGCGACGAGCACCCATCGCACCGTCCAGAGGTGATGGCGAGCGAGCAACCAGCGATCCTCGGGCAGCGAGAAATGCTTCAGCTCGGGCGTCGCTTTGATCGCCTTGGCCGAGATCTCTTGTGCGAGAATCGTGAACTTCATGGCACAAGTCTACGCCACGGTCCGCTCGCTGCCGCTCGCGGCTGCTGTTTGGTGCTGGACCGCTCGGCAAGCACCGGCGCGTCCGCTCCCTCNNCCCTCACGGTCGCGGTTGCTACCGACCCCATTGGCCACTGGCCACTGGCCATTGCCCCCTACTCCTTCTTCGCCGACTCTTTCTTCTTCTCCGCCTTCTTCTCAGGCTTCGTCTCGCTCTTGCCCTCGGCGCCCTTCTTCTCCGTTTCGGCCGCCTTCTTGTAGCTGTCCGAGCGGTAGTCGGTCTCGTAGAAGCCCGNNCCCGCGCCGGTGCCGATGAGGCGCTCCAGCTTCAGCTTGCCGCACTCCGGGCACTTGCGGAGCGGCTTCGCGCTCATCGACTGGAACTCTTCGAACTCGTGCTCGCACGCGCGGCAGCGGTAGTCATACGTCGGCATCGTCGGCCTCTTCCTGCGGCGCCGGGGCGCTGTCCGCCTGCGGCTTGACGGAGACCTTCGCCGGGCGGAGCGTGCGCTCGCCCAGGGCGTAGCCCTTCTGGAGCGACGCGACGACCGCGCCGGGGGCGACCTCGTCGCTCGCCTGCTGCATCACGGCCTCGTGGTGCATGGGGCTGAACTCGTCGCCCGGGTTCGGGTCGATGACTTTCACGCCGTGCGTGCCGAGGACGCGGAGCAGCTCGTCGCGCGTGACGACGATCCCCTTGAGCACGGTCTCCACGGTCAGCTTGGACGGGTCGCCCGCGAGGGCCAGATCGAAGTTGTCGAGCACGGTCATGAGCGACTCGGCGACGGAGACGACGCCCTGCCGGCGAGCCTCGGCCTCGTTCTTGATCGAGCGCTGCTGGAAGTTCTGGTAGTCCGCGAGGGCGCGCTGGTACTTGTTCTTCCATTCCTCAACCTGCACGCGCAGCTCGTCCATCGGGTCCGGGAGCGAGTCGTCCGGCTCGCCGTCGACCCCGTCCATCCGCTCCTGAATGGTGTCCATCTCGCGCTCGATCGCCTCGTGCTGATCCTTCAGCTCCATGAGGCGGGCGCGGAGCTCGTCCTGGGTGGGTTCGGTCGCGTTGTTCATGTCGTTCGTGTCCTTACTCATTGCATTCACCCGCCCAGCGCGTCCTTGATCTTGCTCCAGAATCCCTGCGTCTCGGGGAGCAGGCCGCCCGTCTCGCCCTCTTCCTCCGCCAGCTCGCGGAGCAGCTTCTCCTGCTTCGCGCTGAGCTTCTTCGGCACCTCGAGCTTCGCGATCGCGACGAGGTCGCCCCGCTTGCCCGAGCGCAGGTTCGGCAGGCCCGCGCCCTTGACGCGGAACATCTCGCCGTGCTGCGTGCCCTTGTTCACGACGATCGACGCGGGCTCGTCGAGCGTGGGGATCTCCAGGTGCGCGCCGAGCACGGCCTGCGTGTAAGAAATCGGCAGCTCCATGAGCAGGTGGTCGCCCTCGCGCTGGAAGATCTCGTGCTCCTCGACGCGGACGACCACGTGCAAATCGCCCCGCATCCCCGAGCCATCAGGAGAGACCTGCGGCGGCGGCGGCTCGCCCTCGCCGGAGACGCGCACCGCCTGCCCGTCGCGGATGCCCGCGGGGATCTTCACCTCGAGCGAACGGGTCTTCGGCGTGCGCCCCTTGCCCTTGCAGTCGGCGCACTTGTCCTTGACGACCTGCCCCGTGCCCTGGCAGTGCGGGCAGACGGACTGCATTCGGAACATCCCGCCCAGCCCGGACTGCACGACCGCCCCCTGCCCGCCGCAGGTGGCGCACGTCTCGGGCGTCGAGCCCGGCTTCGCGCCGGAGCCGGTGCACGTCTGGCAGACGTCGAGGCGCGTGAACTCCACGTCCCGTGCGCAGCCGTCGAGGACCTCGTTGAGCGTGATGGTGACCTCGGTCTCCAGGTCGTACCCGCGGGCCGCGCGTTGCCTCCCTCGGGCGCCGCCGGGTCGGCCCCCCATCCCCCCACCACCGCCGAAGATGTCGTTGAACATCGAGAAGATGTCCTCGACGTTCATGCGGTTGAAGTCGTGCCCGGCCGTCGCGCCGCGACCACGCAGGCCCTCGTGGCCGTACTGGTCGTAGATGGCCTTCTTCTGCTCGTCGGAGAGGACCTCGTACGCCTCGGCGCACTCCTTGAACTTGCCCTCGGCCTCCGCGTCGCCCGGGTTGCGGTCCGGGTGGTACTTCATCGCGAGGCGCCGGTACGCGCGCTTGATCTCGTCGCCGTCCGAAGTCTTCGTGACGCCGAGGATTTCGTAGTAGTCACGCGTGGTGGGCATGGTTTAGATAAATCCTCCAACCCTTACAGCAGCGGGTCGATTCTGTTCCATTTTTTCCAGCACATCAGCAATTCGACTGATGCCACCACCAGAAGACATGCAGAATTCATTGCCAGATGCAGCGTTGATGAAACACGGCTCAGAGTATGTACGTCTGTCTTTGTCTTGGAATTCGAGATCAAATGCATGCATTGCGAAGTCTTTCGCAGGCATCTTTACAAGATCAAACAACTGGTACATCTCTCCAGGAATAGCCACCTGTATGAATCCTGCACCGAGCCTTTTAATTTGATCTTCTCGTACTTTCTCATCCTCAATCTGATCGACGATAAATTGCACAAATTGCTGCGTCGGCTTGATCCGGAGAGAAAGCGCTACAGACTGACCCATATTATCGATGACGAATTCGCATAAATCGCGATCACGATAGGGTCTAGTAGTCCGTACAACGAGACACGGGCGTGTCTGGGCGATGCGAATTGCCCTCGTCTCGTTTAGATAGGCGATTGTTGCGATCGCTAGTACAACAGAATTGACCGCGATGATCGCATCTGCAGTTGAAACATCTGCAAATTCACCAAGCAGACGAATCGCCGCGAATATCAGCGTTACTACTGCAATACATACGAGGATGTACGTGATTTTTTTCACAAAGCGGCCCGCGCACTTCCGTGCGCGGGCCCGCTGATCGTTCAAGCTCTCTCTTCCTCAGCGGGGCAAACTGCTGAGAATCTCGTTACGCCGTCGCGCCGACGACGGGCTCGTCGTCTTCCTTCAGGTCGGTGATCATCACGTCCGTCGTGAGCATGAGGCCCGCGACCGACGCGGCGTTGATCAGCGCCGTCTTCGGCACAAGCGCGGGGTCGATGACGCCCGCCTTGACCATGTCCACGTACTTGCCGGAGAGCACGTCGAAGCCGGTGCTGCCGCCCGCCTCGATCACCTTCTCAACGGCCAGATCACCGTCGAGCCCGGCGTTGTCGACGATCTGCTTGAGCGGGACGACGACCGCCTCGCGGACGATCGCGAAGCCCTGCTTCTCGTCGCCCTTGGCCTTCTTCTCGCCCGCCTCGAGCGCGTCGAGCGTGCGGAGCAGCGCGACGCCGCCGCCCGGGACGTAGCCCTCCTGGGCCGCGGCACGGGTGGCGTTGAGCGCGTCGTCCACGCGGTCCTTGCGCTCCTTCATGGCCGTCTCGGTCGCGGCGCCGACGTTGATGATCGCCACGCCGCCCGTCAGCTTCGCCAGACGCTCCGCGAGCTTCTCGCGGTCGTAGTCGCTCGTCGACGCCTCGCGCTGGTTGCGGATCTGCTCGGCCCGGGCGGTGATGTCCGCCTTCTTGCCGGCGCCCTGGATGACCGTGGTGTTGTCCTTCGTGACGATGATCTTCTTCGCCTTGCCGAGCTCGGAGAGCTCGATGGACTCGAGCGAGCGGCCGAGGTCCTCAGCGAAGAACGTCCCGCCCGTGAGCGTCGCGATGTCGCCCAGCATCGCCTTGCGGCGGTCGCCAAAGCCCGGGGCCTTCACGGCCGCGACCTTGATCACGCCGCGGAGGCGGTTGACGACGAGCGCCGCCAGCGCCTCGGACTCGACGTCCTCCGCGATGATGAGCAGCTGCTTGCCGGCGCTCGCGACCTTGTTGAGCAGGGGGAGCAGGTCGTTGAGGTTGGAGAT